CGGCGGACACCGCGGCCGCCGCCGCCGCCGCCGGGGACAGGTTGGAGCTGCTCTGCGGCTCCGCGCTGGGGGACACCAGCCCGGGGGGAGTGGACGACTCGTAGCCGGAGCTGGCAGCTGGGGAGGACTCGGAGCCCTGAGGGGAGGACTCATGGACCTGCAAGACAAAAGCCGGGAGCGGGGGCCCGAGGGGGCTGGGCGTGAGTGCAGCTGCTGTGGGGCCCCCGAGCGCCCCGGCCCCCGCCCGGCCCCCGCGGTGGTACCTTCATGTGCTTCCGCAGCGAGCTGGGGTGCGTGTAGGACTTGTCGCACATCTTGCAGAGATAGGGCTTGTCGGAGGTGTGGACGTGCATGTGTTTCTTCCTGTCGCTGCTGTTGGCGAAGCGCCGGTCACAGCCCTCGAACTCACACTGGAAGGGCTTCTCCCCTGTGGACGGCAAACAGGGCGCTTGCTCCGGGGCACCCGGGACCCCAAAGCGCTCGCCGGGGCTGCCGCGGGCCGGGGCGGGAGGCCGAGGCCGCCAGCGGCGGGAGCTCCCTCCCGGGACGCGGCGGCAGACCCTGCCCGGCTCGCCTAACTCGCCCCTCCACCCCTCCACCCACTCCGCGAATTCCCAAGGAGCGTCGGGGCGCCCCCGGCCCTGCTCGCCTCCCCACGGAGCTTTCTGGACTCCCAGCTCCCTAACAAGTTGCCCCAGCCATCGAGAAGCTGTTATTTTGACAAAATATTTGGGGCATTATCAAAGCACACAGGCGGCTGGGGCTGCTGTCGCTTTCGTTCTGGGGCCAGTAGGCGAGCACATTTGGAGTTGCCGGGAGCCGTTTGGAGACTGGGCAGGGAGAGCGGCTGAGCCAGTATTTCTCATCCAAGAGCTGCAAATGGAGTTAACAATAATCGTAGTATGAACGCCAGCCTTTTTTTTTTTTTTTTAAATGGGGGTGGGGGGTTAAACATTATAGCGGTAAGGTACTTTAATCTCTCAGCACAAGGGCTTGGGGGGTTGGAGTCAGGAAAACCTTTCAAAACTCTCCCTGTTTAATTTTCTGGCGGTTCCCGCATCCTGTTGCCAGGATTCCAAATGCTTGGAGTCATTTAGAGGTGTGAGAACGCAAACGTCGCTCCACTTGGAAAGGGGACCAGCTAACGTTAAATTCCATTAGCACCTAAACTGTTTTTAAAGACAACCGCTCAGACGCACGGCATTTCATGCAAATAAATTCCTCAAAATTTAAACCTTGTTAAAAGCTTGTCTCGCACCTCGGCTCCCTCCCTTCCCAAAAGAGAACAATGGGCCCCTGGCTCGTCCCCACGGCGGAGTAAATATTGACGAGGGAAGTTGCTAAAACATTTGGCTTTCTTTCGGGAAATTGTCTTTTGCGGTTTTGGCTGCGGCCTGGCTGCAGATGAACCATGTACGAGGCGAGAGGCGCGTTCTCTGGCGTGCCCCCTCTTCCCGCGTTCGCCCCGCGGGGCAGTGCTGCCTGGGGCTCCGGCTGGCCCGGGCGAGGGTCGAAGCCCGTTAGAGAATTTCACCAACTGCTGACAAACCTCCCGCAGTCCCTTGCGACCCACCGAGACGGGCTTTAAAAACACTTGAAATGAGAACCGCTTTACAGCTCCGGCTCACACCAGACTCGGTTACTGGGAAACAGTCCCGGGAAGGGCGTTTGGACCCTGGGGAAACACACAAGCCTGAAAACAGATAATCGCTCCGCTCGGGGCAGAAAGGCTCCTTCAGACAAGCTGGCAAAGCCCTCGCTAGGCTGGCTTCCCGGACCTCGCCTTAGGGCAGAACTGTTTTACTTTGTCGGCTCTACCTAGGATGGAAATTTCTCACCAGTATTGGGGGTGGGGGGGGTGGCAACCGCTTCCCTCCCAGTGTATATTTGGTTTTACGCGGATCCTTTAAAGTCCAGTTTCCGCACATGGAAAGAAAAATCCCAGTCCAACAGTTCGCTACCAGCCTCCAACAAAACAACCCGCCGGCTGTCCCGCGCTCTCCACTCCGGGTCCCCGGCTGACCGCTAGCCCCGGAGAGCGCGCGCGCGCACACCCCCCGGACACTGGCTTCCCCTCCAGGCGCCCCTTCCCGCTGCGGAGCCGCGCTCACCTGTGTGGGTCCTTTTGTGGATCTTGAGGTTCTCGGAGCGCGCGAACACCTTGCCGCAGCCCGGGAACGGGCAAGGGAAGGGCTTCTCGCCCGTGTGCACGCGGATGTGGTTGACCAGTTTGTACTTGGCCTTGAAGGGCTTGCCCTCGCGCGGACACTCCTCCCAGAAGCAGACGTGGTTGCTCTGCTCCGGGCCGCCGACGTGCTCCACCGAGACGTGGGTCACCAGCTCGTGCATGGTGCTGAAAGTTTTGTTGCAGCTCTTCTTGGGACTGGCCAGCTGCTCCGGGTCGACCCACTTGCAGATCAGCTCCTGCTTGATGCACTGCTGCCGCATGTAGCGGAAAAAGGCCCCCGGGTGGTGGTGGTGGTGGTGGTGGTGCGCGGCGGCCGCGGCCATGTTCATGCCCATGTTCATATTCATGGGCCCGTACTGGTTGTGGAGCTGCGCCGCCGAGTAGGGGTCGGTCCGCGGGCTGGCCACCTGGCGGTACTGCTCCGAGCGCCCGAACACCTCGCCCGGCAGGCCCAGGCGCATCTGGCCGTTGAGCACGTTCTGCGAGCCGTGCGGCCCGTGCTGCTCCGGCAGCCCGGGGAACAGGAGGTGGCCCTGGGCGTCCGAGTGCGCGTGGTGCAGGCCGCCGGCGCCGGGCGCGAACAGGCCGTGCTGGCCGCCGCCGGCCGCCGCGTCGCCGAAGCCGCGGCTGCGGAACAGGAAGTCCCGCGTGGAGTTGAACGGCGGCCCCGAGTAGGAGCCCACGTGCGCGGCGTGGGGCCCCAGCGCGGCGGCGGCGGCGGCCGCGGCGGCCGAGCCCGGGTAGGCGGCCGGGCCCTGCGACGTGAAGGCCGACGTCTGGCCGGGGGACAGCTCGTGCGCGCCCGCGTTGAGCTTGAAGGCGCCCATGTGCGCGGCGGCCGAGTCCACGAAGCCGTTCTGCGCCGCCGCCAGGCTCAGCTCGCGGTCCTGCATCTCGGCCGCCGCCGCCGCCGCCGCCGCCGCCGAGTGGTGATGGTGGCGCGCGAAGCCGCCCACGCCG